TGGATACCGGCTGGAGGACTAAATACCGACACTAGCATTAAAGGGCAGGTTTGTCAACTCTTGGGAAGCCAATGAAAATGTTTGCCAACATCATTTGAACATAACTACCTTGTAATAATCTACCACAGTCAGTCGCTACTATATTTTTCTCACAATGAAAGTACCAATTGCTCTCTGAAAGCTGCGTTATTGCATGAAGGAAAGAGATGTCAAAATCAGTGACTGTAAGAAGCAATTCATAAGTGACATGGACTCAAGCCATGTGTTTGGCATTTGGCCTTAAGGTAAGGAAAAGAAATGCCCAAAGAGTACTGCCTTCCATGCAGCCATCAGGGAATTTTAAAAGCATTTCTCTGCACATGAAAAAATAGTCTGTATTCTTGAACACTCTGGAAAATATGATCTCCCCCCACACACTTCTGCAGAAGCCATCTATGGAGTTAATTTATCCATTCCATTGACATTTATTACTTGCCTGTAGGCAGAGAAAAAGGGAGGGAGGAAGAGCCTCCTTCAGGGTGACCTTGACTTGGGAGAGGGATGGAAATGAAGCCAGACCTAGGAGTTTAACTGTTCTGTTCTAAGAATACAGGAAATCTTGTAGTATGAGGAAAAGGCAAAGAACTCTAAATTCAACTAAAAGAAAATCTTAAGGAAGTTATTCTGGTCCCATCTAAGAGATGATATTTTAGGAAAAAGGGAAGAAATACTCACAGGGAGAGAAGGAGACAGAAGGAAGAGAAGTCTGTGAAGTGTTCACTATTTGTATTAGTCCATTTTCATACTGCTATGAATAAATACCCGAGACTGAGTAATTTATAAAGAAAAAGTTTTAATGGACTCATAGTTCCACATGGCTAGTGGGCCTCACAATCATGGCGGGAGGTGAGAGAGAAGCAAAGGCACATCTTACATGGCAACAGGCAAGAGAGCATGTGCGAGGGAACTGCCCTTTATAAAACCATCAGATCTCATGAGACTTATTCACTATCATGAGGACAGCAAAGGAAAGACCTGCTCCCATGATTCAATTACCTCCCACTGGGTGCCTCTCATGACATGTGGGGATTAAGGGAGGTACAATTCAAGATGAGATTTTGATGGGGACACAGCCAAACAATATTAGAAAAGGATGCAATTTTAAACAAGGTGTTAAATCCTGTGATTACTCTGTGTCTGCATAAACCACAGGTGTGTGCTTGAGTTTGCAGCTTTAGAGAACAAGTTGTCTTGACATTCAGAAGCCTACTTCCCATAACTAGAAGGAAACCACATCTTCCTTTTAGCACATTGTATTTTAACAATGTTTCACTGTGAACTCGAATTCAAATAAGTTTGACAAAAGGATCATAGTTTGCAATAGAGCAGTGGCTGAGACATTGTGTTACACATTCATGGTATTTCTAGAATGCAAACAAAACATTTCTAATATATCAAATGCATTTCTTTAAAAAAGGAAATTCATGGAGTAGCTCCTGACATGCTTGCAGGGTTGTATGATAAAACTAGGGATCCTAACCATCATTCGAGACCCTTGAGGCTCTCTTTCTGTCCTACACCTCTTGTGTCTCTGAGCACTGGTGAACTATCTGTGAAAAACGTGATGTCTCTCCTTCTCTGTCCCATGAAGCCTCCCTGGAACTGTCATTCAGGGGTCACCTCTCCCTGCTCTGAGGCTACACAGCCTCGCATATGTAACTTTCTTAAATAACTATTACTCTCCAACCACTTCTATTATCGTGATTTATGTACACATCTCCTCCTCGGCAGCTGCTAGGCCATTTTGGAACTGAACAGGCACTAAGGGAGAGAATGAATGAATGGATGAACTAGAGCGTGGAATGCAGCCTGGAACTCCAGTCTTTAGAGATGCTGGCATCTGTAATATGGAATAAAAACAACTCTCTCCACACAGGCTATAGCCTCATGGAAATAAGACTGAAACACCAATGAGATGGAGCAGGGATCCCTCTTAGGGGCCTGCTGGGTTCCCCCAGGCATGGAAATAAATAAAAATCTTGAGTTCTTTCTAAGAAAATTCCAGGCACCTAGCTAGTTTTGAAAAGTAAATGAGCAACTGATAAGCAAGAAAGTAATCATAGAGTAAAGTAATAGACAAGGAAGTTAGAGCCATAAAATGTTTAGTTCCCTATAATAACTAAAGATAACACTTTAACATATGTCCCAGCATTGTTTTTCTGAAAGTGGACTCCTATGAAGTGGAAAATGCCATCTGCTGGCACCTAGGCTCCAGGTAAAGAGGAACTGAGGACTGAACTCTGACTGACATTCTTTGTCATTCCAAATTTCTTCCCCAAGGGGCCTGGAGAAAGCCATGTCCACAGGCCAGATATCACATTTGTTTTTGTTGACCCCAAGTGTTCAGATAAAGCTTCACTTCCTTAACCAATCGCAAATCAGGGAATCTTTGAATCCATTTATGACCTGTGGGCGCCCCTCGTTGGGATATCCTGCCTTTTTAGGTCAAACCAATGTATAACCTCCATATATTGACTTATGCCTTTGCCTGTAGCCCCTGTCTCCTTGAGTTTAAAAACCTTTGCTTGCAAACCATTGGGAAAGTAGAATCTTAAGTGAGAGCTGCCTCATTCTACTGGCTTGGAACCCTGAAAATAAACATTCTCCTTTCTCCCATTGCAAAACCTCAGTGTGGATGTTTGGCCTTACTGCGCCAGGTGAGTGAACCCCAGTTCAGCCTGGTAACACCAAGTCTTCATATATTAGAAAGACATATTTCTACTTTTTACTACTCTTAAAATAACATGGCACACAGAGAAGGGCTGAAAGACTGATAGCTTACTGGGGTTATTCCTGTTCAGATTAAACACAGAGGTTCATTAATTGAACCCACATTACATATTGATCATGTGTCCTGCACTGAGTGAGGAAACAATGGGATGCAAAGGAAGGGGCTGGAAGGAGGCCTGAGCAGCCTAGGAAGGTCATCCAGATGTACCTAACAGGCATTTTTTTGTGCTAGGTGCCAGGTAACAAAAGGTATAGGAGACGGTTCCTGCCCCTGGGTACGCAGCCTGTCACAGGGCTCCAGATGTGCACATATAGATGTCAACAGAGTCATAAGGCTTCATAAGCTACCTGCAGCCCAGGGAACAGACTACAGTGGATGGTTTCTCTTTGCCTCAGGCATGGTATAATTTGGCCTTACTGAGCTCCCTGTAGTTTGCAGAACAAGGTATTTTCTGCTTCTCCTCATTTCCAGCATCACAAAAGAGAACAAGGGGTTGGAAAGGCAGAAAGAGATATAAGGAGAATAACAGCAGATGCACAGACCCACTAGTGACCCCCTTTCTAGCCGTGGCTCCTTTGCAAACATTCCTGGGAACCCCTCGGCCAAGCAAGGCTCTCCTTCCCTTGTGCCAGTAGTATCTTGTGCATGCAAGATGTCTTGACATTCAGAAGCCTACTTCCCATAACTAGAAGGAAACCCCATCTTCCTTTTAGGGCATTGTATTTTAACAATGTTTCACTGTGAACTTGAATTCAAATTGCACTGAGTCTTCCCAGGCTTCATGCCATCATTGCCATCATCTACCCATCCACCCACTGGTTCAACATGACTTCCTTCAGGGCAGACACCATGTTTTATATATTCAGTTGTGTTGGGCCCAATGCCAGATACATAGAAGATAATATTTCTAAACAATTTGACAGATAAAAGCATGTCCTATACTACCTGTTCATATCTTTGCAGGTAAACTGTGATTCACCCTCCCCTCTTGGCTAAGGCATCATCTCTTCTTGTACCTTCAACCCATATCCACTGCATATTTGGCTGGGGAGTCCTAACCCTTAGCACAAATATACCCTTTTAGGTATCATATCACTTTATGAAATGGGGCATGTTATATGTCATGTAATATCTGTCATATAAGGTAGAAATTAGATATGTATATATTAGACACTAGATATATCTAATGTATATGGACATTAAATATTAGATATGTCTAAGTACATTAGATATATCTAAATGTATATATTAGACATTAGATATGCCTGTCTTATATTGGCAGAACATACACTATATAAGCCAGTAGCTGGGTCACATCGAGTATCTCCAATGACTAGCATGATACCTGATCCACCAGGAAAATGGCTCAGCTAACACTGCAAAAAAAAAAAGTTTTGAAAAGAAGTGTCAGCTCAAAATACTACTGTTGGTTCACATAGGCAGAATAATGGTCTCCCAAAGATGCCCTTGTCCTAATCCCCAGAACTTGTGAACAGGTTATACCCTATGGCAAAAGAGACCTTGCAGATTAAGTTCATGATCTTGAGATGTGAAGATGATGTATGATTATCCAAGTGGGCCAAACATAATTTCAAGGGTCCTTATAAAAGGGAGGTGGGGGTGTCAGAGTAAGTGAAGGAGATGAGATTATGGAAGCAAAGGTTGGATACAGGCAGGGAGGTTTGAAGACAGTGAAGTTAGCTTTCAACATGGAAGAAGGGGCCATGAGCCAAAGAAAGTGGGAAATTCCCAGAAGCTGAAAAAGTCAAGGAAACAGATTCCCCCCAAGAGATTATAGAAGGCCCTACTGACATCTTGATTTTAGACCAGTGAGATATCCATTTTGAACTTCTTAGTTCTAGAACTGTTAGTCATAAATTTGTTTTAAGCTCATAAGTTTGTGTCAATTTGTTACAGCAGTGACAGGAAATCCACACACCGGGGTAGAGGAATTTTTGTTTTAATCAGTTATATTACATGAGGCTGTATTTACATGTGGAGATACATACTTTCATCTAATGTCTTGACATAGGACATGGGCTTTTAAATTCTGTGGGAACCAGAACAGAAATGGTCACTTTGGCCTTCCAACTGTCTAATCTCCATGACAAAAGGAAGTCCTATCTATTGTAAAGTAGCAGAATAACTATGGAAAAGCTCTAAAATCAAGAAAAAAGTGACCAGCGGATGAGCTGAGAGGCCAGAGCTTGTCCATACCAGCATTTCTCACCTTTATAGATCCCGTTACTTCCGCCATGAATTTCTCCTTTGGAAGACACTTCTTCTACATGTGCTCCCTGGTCCGATGTGAAGTAGATGAGGGTATTGTTAGCCAATTTCAGCTCATCTAGAAGGTTTAAGATCTGCCCTGGAGGGGAAAAAAAGACTCCATTTAAAAATAATGTATATTCACAAAACAAAGGAATATGGTTGTCCTACTCAATGGGTGGTTAATTTCTCAAGGTGGGAAATAAATGTTCTTACATATTGAAGTTTATGCCAACATGAGGTGTGATGCAATCAAGACTGGCTGTGGCTAGGTTCTTAGAACAGACACCAAGATTCACTGACTTGAGTGCCATTTAGAAGCACCATTTGAACATCTGGGTATCATTAAGTGATTCTGCAGGGAGACCTGAGAAAGTATTCTAAAAGTACTAGGTTCATTGATGGAGAGCCACTTGGAGGCAGGTGCCAGAAGAAAGAGGCTGAAAGGTTGCTCTCAGCAGCTAGTGTTGGCTTTAAGGCTATAAAGAAGTCTCAGTTTTCCTTATTGGATGGGAAAACTAAACCAGCAATGTTCCTCTTATGTGAACAAATATGTATTTGGACATTTTATGATGAATATCCTCTTTTAATACTTATGGTAGATACCCAAGTCTAAAATGTCCTTCACATGAACCTCAATATTCCTCATTGATAGAGGAATAGCCAGGAGTTATTTCCCAAGTCCAAACTGTCCATCACAAATATCACCATTCCTCTTGTCCTCATCTTGTTTCCCCAAAACTAACATTGTATACCACCTCCAGATAACCCCTCAAAAAATAATAGTAGCAATAACAATAACAATAATTGCTACCATCCGTTGAGCACTGTCAATGTGTAGTATATTTTATTACATATTCTCTTGTTTAGACCACACTGAACCCTATGAGTAAATAGTACTGGCTTCATTTTAGGGGTAAGAGCAACAATACTATAAAAGGGCAACTTGTTCAAGTAGGAGAACCAGAAAATAAGAATTAAAATCTGATTGAAAACTCAAAATGCTCAAATCCTAAACAGGTGAGTAGATAGACTAAGTGAGACTCACAGAGGAGTAAAAAGTACACGAGAGAAAAAAAAAATCTTATGAAGATACATCCTGAAATCCCCGTGGATGAAATGGAGGTGGTGAAGAAGATGATAGCTGCTGTCTTCTTCAAAAGAATGCAGGAGGAGAAGAAATGAGTATGGGATATAGATTCAACAAGATTAGTCAGGAGTTAATAATTGTTAAATACGGATGAAGGGCATATGGAGGTTTAATTTTACTACTCCATTTCTACATATGCTTATAATTTTCTGCAAGAAAAACAGAGGAAAGTTGAAGTTTGAAGGAGCAGAAACATGGACTTTCTGATTAGGAAGTTATCACCCAGCTCTCAAATCAGAAGACAACGATGGGCAAAGTTGAGGTATACAATGTACAATTTCCACAGGACTCTACATAGTCATATGCTGCTTATTGAATTTCATAAGTCAGTGCATACTGCTAGGCTTCAATTGATACATTAGATCCTGACTCCATTTCGTAATGTTTGAGTGCTAAGAGTTTCTAAGCCTCATCTCTCCCTCTTCTGTTTGTGCCATGCAGGCTGATAAGAAATCCTGGGTGCTCCCTCATTCACTGCCAGTGGGAGGCTGGAACTATGCAAGCCCCTGTCTGCATGGAAGAGATCCTTATCCCAGCTCCAACTCCTAGTCACCATAAAAGCAGAATCTGTTTCTTTTCCATGCTCTCTCAAGCTATTTTTTTGTAGTGGTTTAGTACCCTGCTGTATTAGTCTGTTCTCATGTTACTAATAAAGACACATATGACACTGGGTAATTTATAAAGAAAAAGAGGTTTAATTGACGCACAGTTTCATGCGGCCAGGAAGGCCTCACAATCACGGCGGCAGGCAAGAGAGAGAACCAGTCAAGTGAAAGGGAAAACCCCTCATAAAACCATCAGATCTTGTGAAATCTATCACTACGATGAAAACAGCAGGGGGAAATTGCCCCCATTATTCAATGATCTCCCACCGGGTCCCTCCCACAACACGTGGGAATTATTGATGCTACAATTCAAGATGATATTTGAGTGAGAACACAGCCAAACCGTATCACTTGCTCTGCTCAGAAAGCCATATTATATGAGTAATAAACCTTTTCATGTCCTCTTAGTGCGTGGGTGCTGTCACTGGTCTCAACATGGTAATCAAATTTTGGTTGGGCTCTCAGTCACACTACGATGTCCACAACAACTGATACTCTACGATGGCACCAGGCATCCTCTGCGGTAGAAATAATTGAATATAGATTTTGGAATACATCCTACCCAGCAGGTAAATCACACCCTGTAAAGCCAGATCCTTCACTCAAGGTTGCACTCACACCTACCTGGTCCAGAAAAGGGTAAGGAGAAGGAATGCAGAGTGAGCTGCCCACGGAGGTGGCACAGAGGATTTCTGATGCAAAAACAACACCCAAGTCATTTGTGGCAAGGCATATTTTTGCTATTTGATTGCAAGTGCCATGGGCTAGACTATGTTCAATCTTTCCCAATTTTTAACTCAAATGATAAACATTCCCAGAACCCACACCATATATGTAAATGTCATACTCAGAACCAAGGAATAAGACACCCGAGGGTCATTTTAGCAGTTTGTTTCCCATGATAAATCATGATCAGGCAGACATTTATTGTGGTGTTATCTGGTGCAGCTAAGGAAACCACCTGTGCACTCAGGCTTGGGGTTGTTTGGCTGAGACACTAATTTAGGCCTAATTACTTTGAAAATGGTAATTAGCTTAATGAGTTGAAATAGAAGGGAGCAATAAGGCGCTACAACCCCTGTTTATACATTGAAAGAAAAATGTCCCCTTTTGCTCATATAACAACCTCTGTACAAAATAACACATATTAGGCAGGTGGCAGAGGACTTAGATTTGCTTCCATATATTGTAGTTAGTATTTAGTGAAGGGAATGAGACCATTCACCTTCCTTTGAAACAAAATTCATCTTTCTATATGTAGAAGTATCTTTGCACAAAGAAAATGCTGTGAAGTAATTTCCTATAAAAATGTGTCTCCCATGATAATTCATGTGCACAGAAAAACCCACACACAAATATTTATACCATGTCTATTTATAATTGCCAAAACCTTGGATGCAACAAAGCTGCCCTTCAGCAGTTGAATGGATAAGTAAAGTATGGTACATCCAGACAATGAAATATTATTCAGAGCTAAAACAAAATGAGCTATAAAGGCATGAAAATTATGGAGGAATCATAAATAGACATTTCTAAGTGCAGTCAATCTGAAAAGTCTACACACTGTATGATCCCAGCTATAGGACATTCTGGGAAAGGTACAGCTATAGAGACCGTAAACAGATCAGTCCTTGCCATGGGCTTCAGAGAAAGGAGAGATGAAGAGGTGAAGCACAGTGGATTTTTAGGACAGTAAAACTACTCTACATGATCCTGTCATGGTGGATCCATGCCATTATACCTTTGTCCAAACCCATAAAACCGTAATGGAAGCCACGGACTTCAGTTAATCACAACATATCAATATTGGCTCAATTGTAACAAATGTTCCAGATGAATACATAATGTAAATAATAAGGAAACTGTGTGCAGGGGAAAGAGAGTGTATGAAAACTCTGTACTTTCTGTTCAGTTTTTCTGTAAACATAAAACTGCTCAAAAATAGTCTATTCTTTTTGTTGTTTTTGAGACAGGGTCTCACTCTGTCTCCCAGGCTGAAGTGCAGTGTTGCAATCATGGCTCACTGCAACCTCTACCTCTTGGGCTGAAGTGATCCTCCCACCTCAGCCTCCTGAGTAGCTTGACTACAGGTGAGTATCACCATGCCTGGCTAATTTTTGGTATTCATTGTAGAGATGGGGTCTCGGTTTGTTGCCCAGGCTGGTCTCGAACTCTTGGGATCCAGCAATCCTCCCACCTCAGCCTCCCTCTATTAATTTTTTAAATGCCTCTCGAATGCAATTTTGACACCTAGACTTCCTCATGCATTCGTTGAACATGCATTTATGAAGTACCTGTCTTACACAGGTTATGTGCTAAAGGCTGGGTTGCCACAGAGTTTTCAGGGCTAGCTCTTATCCCCAAAGCCAAGGCCAGCTACAGTCTACTTACAGTTTCTCCTCTTGTCTATTTTTAAGTCCAGACAACTTTACAGCTGCATTTATTATACAGATTCTCTCAAATGAAATATTCTACATCCTTCCCCATCTTAATACTTCTTCCTGGATATTTCCTACAAATTCCAGTATTTCAAGTGACCATGATAGTTAACATGTCCTCATCAAAGTTTATTTTTCATTGCCTAGAGTGATCACTTTCATTAAAGGTGCCCTCTAGAATGGGGCTGGGATTAGTATAAGAGAAAGTAGCTGAGGCTGCCATGCATATATGCATGGTAGAATATTTAGCTCAACCTGCTGAGAAATGGTTAGATTTCTAATTTCCTCTTCATCCTTTCTCTCCCAAAAGATGTGGTCTGGATCCCATACTACTTAGGTTTTAAGCCAGAATCTCATTTGTAAATCCCAGAGGCCATTCGACATTTAATTTTTTATAACATTGATCCTATAAAGGTCTAACACATTTCCCTCCTAAACATTGTGAAAATCTCCCATGAGAACAAATGATGCTGTATTATTTTTGTGTTCAGAGCAATCTATTGCAAATCAGAGGTCTACAAATATTATTTTTCAGTAAGGTTCTCAAGACATGATACTGATTTATATAGAATGATAGTTTCGAATTACCTATGGTGAGCTGCAGTATAGCTTATAAATGAAACGTTCTATTTCTAAAGTTTTCTCCCTTTGTTTTCTGAATGAAACAGATACAGTAAATAAGCCATTTCAAGAGCACTTTGTTATTTAACTGGAGCTAACAAAAACAAGCTTATCAAAGTGAGGGCTTCCTAACCAGACTTTTTGTAGTCCTAAAGAAAATTTGAAAATGCAAAAATCTGGCTCCTTCCTCTGTCAAGTGTGGATGTGGGTTGCAGAGGAAGCCTAAATTCTAGAAAGTTCTGTCATTCCATTTATTCATCCCACAAACAAGCACTAAGCTACCATT